GATGAGTACTACGACTATGTGAAGCGCTTCTGCATGTTAGCTCTGTCCAAGCTCTTTCAGCGACTCACAGGCCTGCGCTAGAACCTGAGCCCGCGCGAAGCGCGCGCGATTGTTCTAGTTGATATGTATGTTGGGAAAGGGCCAAAGCGGCAATGGAGAAAGAGGGGGAGGCCTTATTGAGCAGGAGCGTCCCTCTGATTGATGTCAAAGTAGGGTCTCTGGAGATCCAGTTGCCCCCAAAGAGGACGGGGCTGGCGCGGGGCCAGAGAAACAGTTAATGCTTATTGCCATGCCAGCGTCGAACACAGCGAGGTCAGTCGTGGCTAGTAGTCACAGGTCACAAATCACAGATGGTTCCCACACGTTTTAATTAGTCTTGTTTAATATTTGCCATTTTTCTCTTCGTCCTTCATTCTGCCTCTTTCCGTTGCCCTCCTCCTCCCCCAATTCATCATCATCATCATCATTATCATCATCCTCATCCTCATCCTCCTCATCGTCATCGTCATTAGCATCATCATCATCATCATTATCATCATCATCATCATCATCATCATCATCATCATCATCATCATCATCATCATCATCGTAAGCTTATGCGTGCAAGGTGTCAGCATGGCCTTTCGTACCACCATCGCTGTCGCATCACCTCTAGCAGCTGCTTCGAGCCTCTCCTGAAACATGCTATCATCAATCCCAGGTGCATCTGAACAGTTTACGATATACCAACCGATTCTCGTCTGAAGGGCTTCGTCCTTTGCCACCGCCCCCCTGCTGATGGGCTTGTGGCTTAAAGGTCAGTGATGCTGGAGTTGTTCTGGGAGTGAAGAGGAGGAGAAGGAGGAGGAGGAGGAGGAGGAGGAGGAGGAGGAGGAGGAAGGTCAGTGGTGGATTGTGATGGGATTGAGTTGGATCCCCTGGAGCCTCTTAGGAACGCTTGGTGGGGGGGCAGCCCGAGGCCACCTCGGAGCAACTCTTTTGGCCATCCAGGGGCCACTTTCGGGGCAGTCTTGGGAAGAAGGGCCCTTCGCAGCTTCGTGCCGACCCTCAAAACCGACCCCCAGAACCGTCCTGGAACGCGTCCCGGCCATGATTCTGATCGGAATCCGGCCGTGGCAGCGGGGGCCCTCCAGGAGGCCCAGGGGCGGGAGAATACCTCAAAGTCCTCCCCCCTCCCCTCCTGGTCTTCCAGACCCCCGAGTGGGCCAAACACCCTCGTCCAGGACAGAGAACGGCTAGTTCCCTGACGGTTTGGCTCGTCGGTGGGTCGTCCCCCTGCCCCGGGTCTGGCCCTGGCCCCCAGCCCTGGCCCCAGCCCTGGCCCCAGCCCTGGCCCCAGCCCTGGCCCTGGCCGCCGGCCCAGCCTGGCCCTCCCTGTGGTCCACGCGTGCAAAAAGGCTACGTGAACGTGTTGCGTACAAATGTGTGTGTGTGTGTGTCTGTGTGTGTCTGTGTGTGTGTCTGTGTGTGTCTGTGTGTGTCTGTGTGTGTCTGTGTGTGTCTGTGTGTGTGTCTGTGTGTGTCTGTGTGTGTCTGTGTGTGTGTGCGCGTGTGTTGCGTGAGTGTAAACGTGTGTGCTCACTGCTTGGAGTCTGCCACCCCCCCGTGCCAAAGAAACAAGCACGCGTTATACTCATACGCTTGCAAGCACTGTATAGACTACTGAACAGAGGTGGCATAGCAACATACGGTACCTTCGGAGGCCTCAAAAGAACATGCAACGTTTAGGGTGGTCGGGCGGGGCGCTGCAGCTGCAGCCCCGCCCCCGGCCCCTGCCCCCGGCGGCCCAGCGGCCCCGGCGCTGGGCCCGCGGCCCTGTATGGCTCCGCCCATGGCCCCGGCTGCTGTGGCCCCAGGCTCCGGCCCCCGCCTGGCCGCCGCCCGCGGCAGCGGCCGCGGTCCCGGCCCCGCCGCGGCCTCGGCCCCGTGTTCCGGCGCGGCCCCGGCCCCGACGCCGGGGAGCCCTGACCCCAGCCCCGGAAGAGACAGAATTCCTCCGTCCCTCCCTCGCCTTTTTATTTTCTCTCCCAGCACGGCCACCCAGGCAACCCCCTCAAGAGAGCTGGAGCTCACACTGTAGAATGTTTGAACTCGCACGCCAGATCGGATTAGACATGGCTATTATTATAATAATATGGATTCGGATTCGTATTGATTATTGTTAGTAGTCGTATTATTACCATTAATATTAGTAGTACGATAATGATTTATTCATAATATAAGCATCCGTATGATTATTATCATGTTTATCACCGTTATGCTGATTCTCATTCGTATTCGTAGCGCCAGTGTTTTTCATGATCATCATTACCATGACTGGTATTAGAACAGATGTACCCGTATATCTATATGTGTTTATGTACAACCATACACACACACACTACTTCTGACTATTCAGAATGGCGAAAGGGACCCTATAGAAGCACCCATCAGCCACGCTTTCTAGAGCCTCCCAGGAGCCTCTTACATTTCTAAAAATTTCTAGAGCTCCCACGAAAGACAACCACATAGGCATTCTCAACCTCATCTTCGTCATCCGCCTCTTTCTCCGAAGTGTCCAGACGAGTCAGCGATCATTTCTGCCAGGCCCAGCACGTCGTGCAGTCCTCTTCCAACGAACGCGAATTCCGCCTGGCTGCCCCGGGGCGCCCCGCGAACATCCGCATTCACGGAACGATGTACCAGAAGTTTTTTTTTGCCGCGGACGCCGCTCCGCTCTGGTAGTTTCCTCATCGTCGACCCGCCCGAACGCGGAAAGGCGGCTGGTAACTTGGAGTTCTGCCCAGCCATTGTCAATAGCATTATTGGACATTTCTTTTTTGGCCAGCAGCGCAAGCATGAAGCAACTCCTCCGGCTCTCAACCCTGAGGCGCGCTGTTCCGCCGCGCGCGTCGCCTAGGTAGCTCGGCTGGTGCAGCAGCGGGCGACCGAGCGCTCGGACGAAGTCGGGGTTGCGAAGGGCCGCTGTCGCGCTCCTACAGGCGTCTTAGACAGTCCCCTGGAGGGCCCCGAAGGACCACAGAGCCTCATGACCTCATCTACAAAGTGCCCTTTGTTCCAACCTCTGGCGGCCGAGATCGCAATACCTCGGTAGTGGGACCGGAACCAGCGCACGCGGCACTACGCGCGCGCACACGCACACACACACACACATACACACACGCGTTCTTTCAAAAGCACACCCACGCACGAACGCGCCACCCGCGATAGATTGGAGACCTCTCGCTGCCGACCGCCGCCGTGGATGGCGATGCGTAGTCGCTCTTTGCGCACCTGTACCGCCCCCTTGCTCGAAGCCACATCATTATTCATCACCGAATCCCCAGACAGTCGACGTCGTATGTTTTTCAACGCGGGGCCCCCGGAGGTCCCGCCAATTTCCCTTTGGCTGTTTGTTCATATCGAGTCGATGATTGACGGTCGCTGGGCCCGTTGAAAGCCCCTGGAAACCAAAAGCCAACACACAAAATCCCGCATTGAAGAAGTTACGTAGTCAGGCGTCTATGCCATAACTCATCACCGCCCCTCCTGCCTCGTCCGCAGCGCCCTCCCTGCTGCCCCCCCGGCCCATATCCTTCTCTTGCGCTCCCCAATCCCGCCTGCTGTGCCGAGCTGCTTCAGGAGGCCCCCAGCATCGCTCAACACCAGCCCCACAATTGCGAACAAGACGATTTCAGAAAACCTCCTGGGGCACCTCGCAGTTCGGGCGTTGCACGGAGGTCGCTCGACGACTTTTCTGTGGTTTTGCCGGAGAGGGGCCCCGACGACATCCCCAACTCGGGCCACGCGCGCGTTGGGCGTTCTTCCGCGGGGAAAAACCCGGGACCAGGAGGAGGAATTTCGCGCGCATTTTTGCCCCGGGTTTTGGGGCCCCAGATTTAGAAACAATAGATTTTCAGAGCCCACCCCGGGAAACCCCCGATCGACTTTGCACTTCGGGTTGTTCTCGGTTTTTTTGTTTTTCAAAGGTTCGGGTGCCAAGCTATTTCTGGACCCCGCCCAGAAACTCTGGGTTTGGGTCATGTAGTTGTTCGGTGTTCGTTTTTACGGCGCCGGGTTTTTCCCACAGGAATAACAATTTATTTGAGGCAAGGAAAGACTTCTTCAGAGAACCTTACGGGCAACCTTAAAAAAACCCAAACACCCAGCTCTGGGTTTTTCCTCATCTTCCTTCTCTTCCCTCCTTCTTCCTCTTCTCCCCCTCCTTGAACCTTCCCCGCGCGCCGCAGACTCGTTCCGCTCCAGACCAACCTATTGGATCAAGGAATCAACGGCGCAGCGTAGCAAGTCGGTGAACATTCGTGCATGTATATATATATATATATATGGATTGAGAGAGAGAGAGAGAGAGAGAGAGAGAGAAAAAAACAAAAAAAGAGAGAGAGAGAGAGACAGAACGAAGAGACGAAGAGAGCGAGAGAGAGAGAGAGAGGAAGAGAGGAAGAGAGACAGGGAGATAACAACATAATATCAAGATACTCCGCACCGCGTGAAGTCGATCCCGTTTGGCCGTTGCGTACCAGATGCGCGGGGTGGTGAGGATTAGGAGCAGAGAGAGGAGAGTGCACATTCGGGGCCAGATTGGCAGCAGGAGAGTGGCCCTGAGGCCCGGGCAGGTAGCCCAGGCGAGAGGTGTTTGTGCTGTTCGTTGGCATGTTAATTCGACGAATTCCCTCCCCGCGTGAAGCCCGAGTGCATGGGCGCTGGGATGGGGTAGTCAGTCGACGAGAGGGGGAGGAGGGAAAGGGGGGTGAACACGAGGGGGGAGGACGAGGAGGAGGAGAAGGAGGAGGTGAACATTGGGCGTTCTCTGCGTAGGCTGGTCGACGCATCCGCTGACGGAGTGCGGGCTGTTCCGAGGCAGGGGTCGGTAGCGGGGCCAGGGGCGAGGTCGGGACCTGGAAGAGGAGGAGCAGCTGCAGCAGCGTCCCCTGGGGCGCCGTGCCTGTCTTCTCTTCTCCACCTTCCGCTTGCCTCCAATTTTCTTCGTCACGCGGTCCAGAGCCACTGTGGCTCAAGGTTCAGTGATTTAGCATGGTTGGCCAATGATGTAACGTTTCACCCAAATCATCAAAGGTAAGCTTCGAGAAGCATGAGAACGTCGTGTGTGTGGGTGGTGTGGTTGACCCCCGTGGTCGCAATGAAGATGTACTGGACCGATTTCGACAGCGGCAAGATCCATAGACGCGACGTCGATGGTGGCACAGTGGAAGAGCTCGTCAATGATGGGCTTGTTAATCCACTTGGCATAGCGCTGGATGTGACGGCAGGCAAGATGTATTGGACCGATTTTGGTACCGCGAAGATCCAGAGAAGCGACCTCGATGGCGGCAACGTGGAAGACCTTGTCACCAAAGGGCTGAACCATCCATTTGGCATCGCGCTGGATGTGGCGGCTGACAAGATGTACTGGACCGATCTGGGCACCGCCAAGATCCAGAGGAGCAACCTCGATGGTAGTAGCGTTGAAGACATCATCACCAACGTGCTGCGCACTGGCATCGCGCTGGATGTGGCGGCTGGCAAGATGTACTTGACACATCATTATGTATTCAATGGTTCCGCCAAGATTCATCGATGCAACCTCGATGGCAGCATCGTGGAAAACCTCGTCACCACGGACTTAAGCTATCCATCGGGCATCGCCCTGGATGTGGCAGCTGACAGGATGTACTGGGCCGATTGGGGCTATCGAGAGATCCGGAGAAACACCCTCAATGGTAGCAGCACGGAACGCCTGGTCACCAGCACACGAAATATCAAACTCCGAAACATGGGCGACTCCGCTGGCCTTGCTCTGGATGTGGCGGCTGGCAAGATGTATTGGACCGACGCTGGTACTAGCAAGATTCACAGAAGCGACCTCGACGGCAGCAGTGTTGAAGACCTCGTTACCACAGGTATCACATCGCCACAAGGCATCGCGCTGGATGTGACGGTTGCCCAAAGAAGTACGACAAAATACGCAAACAAGAACACTGGTTCATCTGAATCCCCCTTTTTCTTGCCCTGACTCATGGTCGAGGATAACAGCAGCGAGGGCAAGAAGGCGCAGAGGTACATAAGCAGGATCGTGCCACGGACTGGAAGCTATGACACGTGACATCGCGCGACATCGTGTCGCTGCAGTGTTTTGCGTTCGTTCCGTTGCCAGCGCGGCTCGTCACCCAGACCCAAATGGTCCGCCCTGCTCCAGCGGGCGAACAGCAGTGCCAGACTGAGCTGTCCACCACGCGGGACGAAGGCTTCCAGCCACCCTGGGGCAGGCGTCCACCGCGGTGGAAGGCTTTGCTTCTTGATGGGCCCCTGTTCCACCACCACCACCACCATAAATTGGAGGGGGGAAGGAGGCGGAGGATGAGGATGAGGAGGAGGAGGAGGAGGAGGAGGAGGAGGAGGAGGAGGACCCCCTCCCCCTCCTACTCCTACCTATGGTGGTGGAGGTGGAACACAGGCCCACCACTTCTGTGCTGCTGCTTGCCCGCCGGTCAGTGTGGCCGCACAGGGCAGGGCGAGCAGGAGCGGGACCCAGGAGCGCAGGAGTCCACCCTCGGCCAGAGGGCCAATGCTCTGTGGAGCACCGTGGGGGACGGGTCAAGCAGTGGCGAAGCGTTCTGGCGTGCCTATAGGCCCAGCAAACAATGTTCTAAGAACCTCTTGCGGCTTCTACGACATGTTCTTAGAACATTTCTGGCCGAGACTGTCTTGTCTTAGCTAATCGGGTTTATGTTCTAAGAACATTGTTTTTGTTATTGGGACATTTTCGGCTTCTAAGAACATTTCGTGGTAGGAATGCCGGGACGGCTGGTCCCTGCTTAGAGGTGGGCCTTGAGGGCCTGGGCCAATCGATCCTGCATGCCAAGCCCTCCAGATAATGCTTGTGCCAGATCTTCGTGATGAGCCCTCCGACCGACAGCCACCACGTTGGAATGAGGACCGCTCTGGTTTCGGAGTGGGCTCGAGGTTTTCCAGGTTGTGTTCGCCAGCGCGGCCCCCAATCAGCGAGTTTTTGCACTGTGCAAGCCGTGTGGTGTAAGCTATATTGCTCGTGCAGGCTGTGTGGTGTGCGCTATGCAGGTGAACCCTGTGTGGTGCAGGATGTCGTTTGCATGCACGGTGCGAGTTCTGGAGGTGGAGGCTGAGTGGCGTAGGGCATGTCGTTTGTGCTGTGTGAGCTATGCAGTGCACGCTGTGTGGTGTAAACTATGGGGTGTAAGTTTCAGGCGATCGCAAACATGGATCAAGGGGGCGTGGATTAGCGACGGGTCCCGTTTCCATTGGAAATCGCGGATTCCGCCGCCGAACCAGGCGGCACCGACCGCATTCCGTGGAGGGCACTTCCCCGATCCATGCATTTGGCGACCGCGCGCCAAATCCATGGATCGGTAATCCATGTTTGCGCGCCCCCGAATGTGCCCTGTGCTGGGTGAGCTGTGCGGTGCACGCTGTGTGGTCTAAGCTCTGGGGTGCAGGCCGTGGGGTCGCGAGCAGCGTGGTGCGAGGCTCGGCGCACGGGGCGCCCCCTCGAGGCGGCAACGAGGCGGCAGCGTGGCGCAACCTCGGCCGACCCACCCGGATGCACGGGGGTGCCCACGAGCGCCCACGCGGCGACGGCACGGAGCCGAAGGAAAGGGGGGGGATAGGGGAAAAGGGGGGGTTCTGAACTCTGCTGCGTGCGGCTGGTTTCGGCCCCGCCGCCGGGCCCCTTCCTCGATACAGGGGCGCCTCCCGGCGCCGGGAGGCGCTGGGAAGATCGGCTGGGTGGGCTGATGCTCTGCCCTTCCCTTTGCTATCCCCCCTTTTCGTTCCCCCGGCACGGGGCGGCGAGGTGGAAGTGCCTCGGCCAGCCCGGCCAATCGCGTAAGCAGCAGACGTCGCAACCCCAAAGTGCAACCGACGGTTTCGAGAAAAGAAACGCCCAGGTACAACGCCCAGAAGATGGCGCAAGAGCGCCCCCCCCCCGCGCCCCCACTTTCGATGTTTATCTAAGGGAGCCGGCCGCGATTTGCGAATGTGGGCGTTTCCCTCGAAGCGACTCGCACTCCCCCGCGTCGACCGCCCCGAACTTTTGAAATTGGGGCCCGGGAGTTGGACCCGCTTCAACGCGCATTCGAGATGGGCGTTTTTTCCCCGAAAACCACGGAAGCCTTGCTTGGGGAATTTTGATTGTGCTCAGACAGCGTCAGCCATATTTCTGTTGGCATGGGGGATGTGCCGGACTGCCTGGGTCACCCGCACGGGCGCGAAGATGACCACGCCTCGCGCTTCACGCGGCATGGAACGACGAGTTGCCCTTCTCCAGTGGGGGCGACATGGGCCCCAGGGCTCTGGACCCCATCCCCGGGAGGATTTTCTTCGTGCGGGTCGGTTTTGCGGGTCACGGGGCCGCAGGATGGTAGACGGCACTGCAAGAAAACGCGCGTCCTTTTGGATTGTTGTCTCGCAGCGCCTGGCGATCTGGGTCGGCCCACTAATTTCGGATCACAGTGAATTCCCACAGAGCTCCCTGATGCCACCCCACAGATTTTTTAGGTGCGCGTAGCCGTGGCCACGTAACATTGTTTCCTGGTCCCTTCTCTTGTCCCTCGGGGGTAGTATTAGGTAACCTCATGAAGCGATTAAGGATCCCCCCGGGGTTATCATTAGCACCGCCCCGTAATTAAATAATTATTCTGGGGGGTTTTCGCCGGACGATATAATTAGCACCGCGCACTTGAAAGGAAAGTAAATAATTCCTGCGTCCCGCCTCGGATGGCATCCCAATTGGAATTGTAATCATAATAAAAATACGAATGAAAATACGAATAAGAACAATAATTAGAATAAGGCGAGTGTCACAGGTACTGCTGACACCGTAACTGTTACTGCTACCGTGATGACGATGAAACCTGATGGCGTGATGCTACTGTTACTGCTACCGTGATGCTACTGTTACCGTGATGCTAGGCGATTTGTGAGGGTGCTCAGGCGATTTGGACAATTCTGTTAAGCAATGTGAGGATGTCTCAAGCGATTTGGCTAATTCTAAGAAGACATGTGAGGATGTATCAGGCGATTTGTGCCATTTTACTAAGATGTGTGAGGATGTTTCAAGCGATTTCGTCTTATTCCTTCTCTACTCTTTGTTCTGACCCGCTTGTTTTTCCGATGAGGTTTCTATTGAAAATCCTTTAGAGACATGCGTTTTTTTTCGGCCGTCGTAGGGGGTGGTCCACCCGAGGGTATTGCCCCCACCCCGCACCGTGGCGTTATCTTAGCACCCGGCCAAAACAAATATCCGTGTGACAGCCAGATCGTGCTCGTCGTCGCCGAAGATACGAAGATACGAACGAAGATAAGAAGAATAAGAAGCAGAAAATAACGAATAATACGACTAATGAGAAGCAGAATGCGACTGATTGTAAGAATACGGATAATAAACATCGTTTTCCTCATGATCCTCATGGAATCGAGGTACTCCGAACAAAGCAGCGATCCTCGCAGACTACGAATGAGGATACGACTAAAACGAACGAAGATACGAACGAAGACTAAGAATAAATGTGAGGATGTCTCAGGGGATTTGGCCAATTCTATTAAGACATGTGAGGATGTCTCCAGCGATTTGGCCAATTCTAATAAGAAATGTGAGGGTGCCCAGGCGATTTGGACAATTCTGTTAAGCAATGTGAGAATGTCTCAAGCGATTTGGCTAATTCTAAGAAGAAATGCGAGGATCTCTCAGGCGATTTGTGCCATGTTACTAAGATGTGTGAGGATGTTTCAAGCGATTTCCTCCTCTTCCTTCTCTACTTTTTGTTCTGATCCGCTGTTTTTTTTTCCGATGACGCTTCTATTGAAAATCCTTTAGAGAAATGCGTTTTTTCCGGCCGTCGTAGGGGGTGGTCCACCCAAGGGTATCGCCCCCACCCCGCACCGTGGCGTTATCTTAGCACCCGGCCCAAAAAAATATCCGTGCGACAGCCAGGTCGTGCTCGTCGTCGCCGTAATCGTCGGAAGACACCAATGGTAGATACTTACTCCTGACAACCATGACATGGCTGAGAGGCCCAAGGAACAACTGATGTTTCAGGCGATTTGGCAAATTTTACTAAGAAATGCGAGGATGTCTCAGGCGAGTTTGCCAATTCTACTAAGAAATGCGAGGATTTCTTAGGCGACGTGGCCAATTTTACAAAAAATATAAGGCGCCACTGCTTCTTTCTGAGTACCTGGACTCCTGCCAGTACCTGGACTACTGCCTCCGAAGGCCTCGGAGAATAAGAGCTCCCTGGGCCCTGAGAGGCCCTGGACCCCGATGGGGGAGGAGGTCAGGCGGATCGGCCGAAGGCCTCTGAGAATAAGAGCTCCCTGGGCCCTGCGAGGCCCTGGCCACTGAGGGAAGGCGAGGGGCCATTGGCTGAAGGCATCTCCAGGGCCCTGCTATGAGAACCCCTTGCGATACGTCTTGGACCGTCTTGGATTCTTCTGGAACCTCTCGGCCATCTTGGATTATTCTGAGGCTCACTGGGCCGCGCAGGAGTCGTGAGGCTCCCTTAGTAGAAGTAAGAGTTGGAGTAGGAGTAGGAGGAGAGGGAGGAGGAGTTGGAGGAGTAGGAGTATAGGAGCAGGAGTAGGAGTAGGAGTAGGAGTAGGAATACGAATAGGAGTACGAGTACGAGTACACGAGTAGGCCAATTTTCGTAAGAATTGCGAGGATGTCTCAGGCGATTTGGCACATGCTTATAAAACTGCGAGGATGTCTCAGGCGATGTGGCCAATTCTATTAAGAAATGTGAGGATGTCTGAAGCGGTTTGGCCAATTATTTTAAGAAATGTGAGGATGTATCAGGCGATTTGGCTAGTTAATTCGATTAAGAAATGCAAGGATGTCTCAGGCGATTTGGCCATGTCTACAAAGAAATGTGAGGATGGCTCAGGCGAGGTGGCCAATTCCATTTAGAAATATGAGGATGTCTCATGCCATTTGGCTAATCCGGCTAAGAAATGTGAGGATGTCTCAGGCGATGTGGCAAATTCTATTCAGAAATATGAGAATGTCGGGTGTAATTTCGCCAATCCTACTAAGAAATGCAAGGATGTCTCAGGCGATGTGGCCAAGTCTGTTCAGAAATGAGGATGTCTCAGGCGCTTTGGCAACTGCTGATAAGAATTGCGAGGATGTCTCAGGCGATGTGTCCAATTCTAATAAGACATGTAAGGATGTCTCAGGCGATTTGGCCAAGTCTGTTAAGAAGTGTGAGGCTGTCTCAGGCGATTGGCAAATGCTGATAAGAATTGCGAGGATGTCTCAGGCAATTTGGCAAGTTCTATTTGGAAATGCGAGGACGTCTCAAGCTATTTGGCCAATCCTATCTGAAAACTGAACGCTTGAGCTTTGAAAGGGCGGCAGGCACAGGCAGGAACTCTCCTGAGCACTGAAAGGTTGCCCTAATATTGCCAGGACTTTGAAAAGGCGAGCTGGGGGGGAAGGAGGGAGAGGGGGAAGGAGGAGGAGAAGGATTAAGCAATGTGAGGATGTCTCAAGCGATGTGGCAAATTCTGCTAAGAAATGTGAGGATGTCTCAGGCGATTTAATTTGTTCTATTAAGAAATGTAAGGATGTCTCAGGCGATTTGGCCAATTCTAATAAGAAATGTGAGGATGCCTCAAGCGATTTGGCCAATTCTATTGAGACATATGAGGATGTCTCAGGCAAGTTGGCCAATTCTATGAAGAAATGTGAGGATGTCTGAGGCGATTCAGCAAGTTCTATTAAGACATGTGAGGACGTCTCAGGCGATCTGGCCAATTCTATCAAGAAATGTGAGGGTGTCTCAAGCAATTTGGCAAGTGATATTTGGAAATGCGACGACGTCTCAAGCGATTTGGCCAATCCTATTAAGAAATGCGTTGATGTCTCAGGCGATTTGGGCAAGTGCATTAAGATATGTGATGATTTCTCAAGCGATTTGGCAAATGTTCGTAAGAAATGCGAGGATGTCTCAAGCTATTTGGCCAATTCTCGTACGAAAAGTGAGGATGTCTCAGGCGATTTGGCAAATTCTGCTAAGAAATATGAGGATGTCTTAAGCGATTTGGCCAAGTTTATTAAGAAATGTGAGGATGTCTCAGGCGATTTGGTCAATTCTATTAAGAAATGCGAGGATGTCTCAGGCGATGTGCTTCCTCCTCCTCCTCCTAGCCGCAGGTGCCGGAGTAACGCTTCCAGGTGCGGGGGGATATCGTTTCGCCGGAGGGGGGGGGGTTCTTAATTGCTTCCTCGGGTTACCCTCCCTTTTATGTATTTTCTTGTTTCACCCCCATCGTATTCCGCTTCCCACATCATCGGATTCTTCCATTGGTTTGATGGAAGGACGGGCTATCCGTCGCACCACCAGACGTGTTGGTAGTGCGGGCCGGGCTCTTCGCTCGAGATGGCATCATTGCTTTTGACTCTGAAGCATGGGGATTCCGAAAGCTACACGGATCTTGGCTGGTCCGTTTTCAGTATGAGGTTCTCGTTTCAGCGCCTTGCATTAAGTTGGGCGTGTCCCTCGACAGGGGGAAAATTCAAAATTGGTACTACAAAAACGTCAGGGGACGCGTTTTTGTTTGCTATTTGGGGGTATTGCGAAGGCATTACAGCCGGTGCCGCCGACCCTGAGAACGAAGAAGATGAAAACGAGGGGGGGCAGAGAGAGGAGGATGAGTGGGAGGTGGAGGAAGGGTGGAGGAGGTGGATAAGGGAGGAGGAGGGGGGAGAAGGATGTGGAGGAGAAGCAAGAGGAGGCGAAGGAGGCAGAGGAGAGCAGGAGGAGGGGGAGCAGAGGGGGGGGCAGGAGGAGGAGGAGGAGGAGGAGGAAGAGAAGAGGAGGAAGAGGAGGAAGAGGAGGAGGCCAGAGGCTTTCTTGGGACAGCCTGGGGCTCTCTCGAGGCCGTCTTGGGCCGTCCAGGGCTCCTCTTGCGCCGTCTCGAGGCACTCTTTGAGGCCTACTGGGCAATTTGGGGCTCTGCTGGGCTGTCTTGGGGCAATCTTGGGGGCCTCTTGGGCCGTCTTGGAGGCGTCTTCGGCCGTCTCGGGGCCCTCTTCGGCCGTCAGGGGACTTTCTTGGGGGCCTCTTGGGCCGTCTGGGGGCGATATTGGGGGCCTCTTGGGCCGTCTTGGCGCGTCGGGGAGCGCAAGAGGCAAGAACGCCAAAATCTTTCAAAAACGTATGGGAAATCCATGAATGTTGCCTCTTGGGGTTCTCGTAGGAAAGCTCCTGGAGGCTTCTTGGGGCGCTTTGCAGGCCTCCTGGGCCGTCTGGAGGCCGTCAAGGCGTCTTGGACAGATCGTTCTGCGATTCGGGGTTCTCTTGGATTGCCTTTGGGGTCATTTGGGGGTACTGTTTGAGTGTTTGTTCGTTTTCGTTCCGAATCCGCCTGCAGGAGGACATGCCCGACCTAATTGTACAAGTTTTCAGCAGCTGTGCGGGTGGAGGGCAGCCACGTTTTCAAAATGTTGGCTCTCCCTTCCGCGCCGCGGCGAAGCGCACAGAGGGCGGTTCCATTTCAGAACGGGGCGTTCGCCTTGGCATGTCCTCGGGCTTTGCGAACTTTATCGCCCTCGTGACGATCTGCAGCCTCCCCTGGGACGTTTTCATGTCGTGGTTGCTGCTGACCACGTTGTTTACGAGGATCGATGTATTGACCGCCTTCTCTTCCAGCTGGATGTTCGTGGGAGGAAGCAGCTCTCTGAGGCGGTCGGCTGCGTGCATCCGTGGCAAAATAACATGGAGCAGCTACACTGGAGTTACGAGAGGAGGGCGGCCAGCATCCGAAGTGGAGCTCTGGGTTGAGATGTCGCTTGGCCTTGTAGCCAGTAGCAGCAGTGATAGAGGTGGCATCTTTTCAAACCAGGCCTCTCGCGTGAAACTTCCTTCGGTTCTGTGCTCGTGAATGCGCAGCAGTTGCGGATCGAGGGCGGCTCCTATCCAAAATCGGGATGTGGTTGGGCGGCTCCTTGAACTGTGCGACCCTGCTTCTCTCAGCCAGAAGGAAGAAAGGCGGATCCTTCTCGAAACAGGTCTCTGGCTTGAATGGTAGGCCCATGGGGCGCTCGCCTTCAAGGGTGCGCATCGTGCAGTGACAAGAGTATAGTTGTATGAGAGGGGGCTGGGGTCGAGAATGTGTCAGCCAGCATCGTTGACTCATCCTGGGCGTTCCTGTCATATGCCTCCTGGCCCTCCATGGCTGTCCCATCATCAATCTCTGCTCCACCTCTTCCTCCTCCTCGCCCCCCCCCCCTTTATCAAGAAGACCTTGCCCAACGAGCCAAAGCTGCAGTTTTTCCCAGTCTCTGCAGACGTGGCTATTTAGGGCCGCCATGCCCTCCAGAGGTGCTTCACCGTGCCGTGCCGCAGTGCCGAGCGAAGCCATGCGATGGGGTCAGAAGGGGTCAGCTCGTGATCTCGATGCCTAGATGTACCCGATGCCGGGATCAGGGCCGTGCAGCGAGGCTACCAGGGGCTTCGCCATCCCAGTTCCCAGAAGTGCGGCCCTGTGCTGTGGTGCTAGGCGGTGCATTGCCGTGGGGCTTTATAGAAGACCCCAGAGCGTGGTCTCAGAGCCGGCAGGTGCCGTTCTGTGCTTCGGTGCCAGGCCGTACCGTGCATCATCATGGGACGACAGGCGTCTTAAGTGTGATACCATAGGTGTTCGCGTGTGCCGTGCGGTGTCGTGATGTGCCGTCGTGCATTGAGAGGTCTGAAATGCGAAGTGCGGGGCCAGAACAGCGTTGTGTCGTGGTGCGTTGAGAGGGCTGAAGGGTGCACACGGGATGCAGGGAGCTAAATACAGGTGCAGTGCTGTGTTGTGATGCCGTGCCGTGCCGTAATGAATTGAGGTAATTACGTAAACGGCGATTTGATGGGACAGAGGTGCCGTGCCATTGTGCCGTACAGTGCCATGGAGTGCCGTACTGTGTCGTTGGTACCCACCGTTGTTGTTTCGGGTCTCTTTGGCGGATGTTCGTTTTGCTGTGCGCGGCCGTTAAGCGGAGATGGTTGAACGCGAGTTACAGTTTCACCGAGTTTTCTGTAGATACTCCCCGATATAAAGCAAAGCTTGAACTGACGAATGCCTGCAGCGTCGCGTCCGATTTCATTGTTGAGTCTTGCTGGAGGCTGGAGCTGTACCAGGTCACCGCTTACGGCAGGGAGCTGGTGAAGACCTTCAATTGTCCTTCTGCCCCTTCTTGCATCGCCCTCGCGGCGTTGCATGCAGATCGCACTCGAGTGCTTGTATTGTGCGGTCATCAAGCACTTCGTCTGAGAATCACGCCTGTAAGCAAAAGGTCCGCCTCATTCTCCTCCTCACCCTCCTCCGTCCTGAGCACCCCGCTCGCGCCCCGCTTGCCTCCCCGGAGCGGTTCGAAGTCCCCGTCAACGGTCAGGCGTTCAATCACGTTTAGTTGTTCGTTCTCATCCGCTGGACGGGCGCCCGTTCAGAGGCGAGCCATGGCCTCCCGACGATCGCGTTTGGGCCCAGTGCTTTCGTCGGTTGGCGCCATGATTGCCTGCATCGCTGGCATTGCGCTTGGGGCAGAAAGTCGATCGCCCCCAGTGTCGAGGGCGCTTCGTCAGCGCGCATGGATCTCATAAGAGCGAGGCCCGATCTGCAAGGCAGCGCGCAGCAGTGTCAGGTACACGGGCTCGTCGGTGTCTTCGCCGCCCTTCGCTTGGTTATCCCGCTGCCTCCCCGAGGAACTGGGGCGGCGACACCGCGACCCAAATCTGCTCGAGGTGCCGGGGCGCCAGAGGGGAGAGGCGCTGTGAGGGAGCAGGGAGGGCGGAGGGGGAGAGCATCCAGGCATGCACCACGATGGTCTTAATGAGCCCAAGGCTTATCATTTTGATCTTCACACCTGCAGGTATTTGTCTCGCAGTGTTTCACTCCGACGGTGCGCCCGGGTGTGCGTGCGCCACCCCCCCCTGACCCTCAGACGCCGGAGTCCCATAGGTCCCAAGATAGGCCTCAAGAGGCCCCGAGAATCACGAAACGCACCCGCGAGGGGAGTACTTCTCTTCAAATTTCTCATGGTTTTCGCACATGTTTGATATTCTTGTTGCTCCAGCTCCAGATGGCTCCGAGGTGGGCCCCATACGCTTCCGAGGAAATAGGCCAAGATGGCCCCTGAGCCAGCCCCCCAGGCGGCTCTGCGATGGCCCAACGCAATTTGAGTCTGGCTTGGAGACTGCCCCCGACGGCCCCCAGGCACTCCAAGATGGCCCAGAAATGCTTCGAGGGAACCCCAGGTGGCACCAATAGAGCCCAGGGATGGTCCCAAGCTCCTCATTTTCCTCTTCCTGTATCTCTCCGCTCTCTCGTGTTAGAGCATGGCGCGCGATGTTTGTCCTCGTGAGGGTCCCATGCCGCTCGACGAGCGAGCGGTACCAGGGCCTCCAGTCCCGTGCCACATTTCCAACGCGGTCCCGTCCCCGCCGACCGTCCTGACGAAGTCCCGGGGCCCTCCGCCGAGAGAGCCGGGGGCTGGGGAGGAAGCAGGGTCAAGTGCAGCTGGAGCGGAGCTTCCGCTCTGCGAATGACCTTTCTCATGCCGTATTGGCTCCGTTTCTGTGGGGTCAAAGTGAGTATAAGTTCCCCTCGACATGTAATGATATGATCCGTTGAATACGTTTCGTCTCCACGGCCCGATCCACTCTCGCTCTGATCTTCGCGCCGACGAGAACACAGACGTGGAAGCCCCGATCAGTCTCCCTCACGACTTGCTACCCGCAAGCAGGCGAATTGAATGAAAGAGGGTCCCAATGGAGCAGACGAAGCATCCATGAGCGTGGCCACACGACGGCTGTCTGGCCGAAATAATGCCCGTCGCGAAATGTTCGGCACGCAGAGTGCAAAAGCCGCGCTGCATCCGCAAAGGTGGCGCCCCTGCTGAAGAAGCTTGCTCTACCTTGGTGGAGGAGGAGACGACGACGACGACGACGACGAGGAGGAGGACGACGAGGAGCAAGTGGAGAGCAAGAGAAGAGGAGAAGCCGAGGAAGACGGGGGGGGGCATCGTAGCGGGCATCCCGCTGCGACCCCTGTGCGCCCAGGGAGGTCCAGCTGTCCGAGCTGGGCCCCGAGCCGTGGCCGGAGATGCTCCTGGAGGGCTCCCGCCTCTGGGGCTGCAGCGGCGGGCACCCATCGGCACCCATCGGCCCGCTGTGAGCGTCCTCCTCCGGAGCGACGCAGTCCCTCCTCCTCCTCCTCCTCCTCCTCCTCCTCCTCCTCCTCCCCCTCCTCCTCCTCCTCCTCCTCCTCCTCCTCCTCCTCCTCCTCCTCCTCCTCCTCCTCCCCGCGTCCACCCCGGGTCGCTCGCTGCTGGCGGGGGGCTTCCCTCGGGCTCGTGCTTGCACGTCTGGAGTTGGGTCGGGCATGTCCCTCTACGGGAGGAGTATCCAGAAATGGCCAAAAACGGTGTAGGGACGTTTCTTCGGCGACTTTCGACTATTTCTGAATATGTTTTGACGCTGTTTTATTTCTCGTCCAAAGTCCGCCTGCAGGGGGACATGCCCGACCGAAGTCTGGAGTTGCCTGGCGCCGATCTGGGGCATCTCATGTCTGGCGCGGCTGGCCTGTTTATTTTGCGACGCTCTCGAGCAGACCTGGTACTGATGTGGGCTCTTCCCGACCCTCCTGCGTGGGGTTCTCGTTTTGACTAGAGCACTGTGGTCTCTCCAACCTACTCCTCATCCTTCCCGCCTCCCTCCTTCTTCCTACCTGCCCTCCGCCCTGTCTCACCTGTGGGAGCTCTTACCTCCTGCGTTGCGTTTTCGTTCCTGACCCTCCTGTGCTGGGTTCCCGTCTTTACCAAAGCACTGCGTTCGCACACCTCACTTCCGCCTCCTCTCCTCCCTGCTCCTCTTCTCTCCTGCCTCTCATCTGGCTCTCTCCGCCTGCCAGCCTGCCTCCTAACTCGCCGTCCCGACCTCGCCGTCGCTGTGGGGCTACGAGCTGCGACACCGTCGCCACTTTCGATAGCTGTTGAGGGGTCCAGCGGAGCGACGCCCCGCCGGGAGGCTCAGATTAGACCTCGCCATCCCTGGAGGGCGGGCGAGCTGTGCCTCGCTCGTATCCTGCACTGGCGACGAACAGCTCATTATTCAGGGCGCCAGGCGGCATCGCTTCTCACCGCCGAGCTGCTTGAGAACATCGAAACCCTCCTTTCTCACCCCCCTGCCCTGGTTGTAGTCCTCGTCCTCCTTCACCGTCTCCTTGCATCTGGCGCGTTATTTACTTTTGGGCCCTCCCTTCGGGCCTTATCGTGCCCCTCCTTCCCGCCCCTTCCTGTCCGAGCCTGGGGCCTCGCTCCTCGTCCGTCTGTTGCTGTCCCGTGAGTCGCGCAACGCGCACGCAACCCATGCAACTTGCACAAACTGCGGCTCCGGTAGCGGCACGATCCCAAAACACTAAGGGCCAACTACTATGGTCACTGGACTCAAACGGTCGGGTACGTCGCAGGGCAAGTGTCAAACACCCGATAGTTTGCGATTTGAGTCGGAGCTGCCTGCCGTGTAGATCTTAGTCAGCAGACCAGTGCAGTGCCTTGGCTCTCTGGCGCACCCCTTCGCCACCGATCCTGCTGGGCGAAGTGGAATGCATTTTTGCGTGTGGACGTATTGTATGCACATGGTTCTCCCCTCGTAGATTACGGCTTACTCGTCTTCGCTTTCGTTTTTGGTATGTATTTATATCTATGTGTGTATATGAATATGTGCCGCTCTAGTTGCATATTTGTGTATCGAGGTATCTACGTATCCCCCTTCTCTCTGTGTATACTTCTAAAGAAACATACGCGTAGATGTCTGTGCACAAGACTTCATGTTGCCCTCTTGTTGGCCTCCTGCTAAGTGCAAACGCATGTCTTTCCAGCTCTCTGACTCAGCATGGGTAATATGTGCGCGCGTAAGAGGTTGTATCGATGCGCGTGGCTATGTACGCGGATGTTTCCAGCATTCCGCGCACATCGCTCTACATCGCCCTATTGGTCTCATTCTCGCGTGCTCACACATCCCTCTTGAGTTGGACATGGCGCTACACCCCCTGCAGCCTATCCGCATATAAGGTGGTGGTAGCACAGGTGTTTTCAATGCTCCTTCTTAGGTCTGACATCCAACAGATATCGCCTATCGTGATCCGTCTGATGACTCCTGGTGTCCTTGTGTGGGTCTCAAAGAAGCAGGGAACGACGTGGGTCCGGGATTTTTCACCAGAGGCTCCAGGCTTGAGCATGGACTTGTTTTGGAGGTATAGGCCCCGACCAACCGCGATGTACGCGATTCGTACTCCAATTCCCTCGCATTCACGAGCCAGTCCCAAACACTTTGCTGTATGACCTCACGTTGCAAGTGTACAACTGCATGGCAATGTACAACAGCACCCCATTACTAGCTCCTATCGCCTGGTGGGGTCAGCAATCAATGCGCCGCACCACTCAGGCAGCCCGTTCTTCCTTTCCCTTGCCCCATCAGCCCAGCGGCCACGTCGGATCACGGAGACGAAGCAACATGGCTATGCCGGCAATGCGGCCTGGAGCCATGGACTGCAATTCGACTCAGATTCGATTGTTTGGGGCGTCCTTGGCAAGCTCTTCAGCAGCCATCTGGGACGCCCTTGCTGCGGACAGCTCCCATTCCATTGCACACTGTGCTGGCTCAGTGTTGCGCGGACGTCAATGACACCGACAGTTGTGAGGCTGATGCGCATGTCATCTTGCGATGTGAAGATGGTCTAGATGATGAGCACAGGAGGGACAAGCTCTTGTGATCTTAATGGCGGCCTGGGGTCGGTCCACTATTGCGCACCCCCTCGCTGCGTTGTCTTTGCAGCCTTCAACTCAAAATCCAGCGTACACATGTTCTAGGTGTTCAAGTTGCCCGGCGCCGTCTGACATAAAGTGTTTCCAATGTGTCGCCGCACGCGGGCACCAATGGTGCCATGGTTTTCGGGCCACTAGCCGCATGAACCGTACTTGACATTAGTTACCATGTCTTCTTCGACACGAAGTTGTGGTGAGTTGGTTTGCATGCGATGCGGAAGGCTTGGCTGCGCATCACGCTCATGTGTGTCGCAGGGCTAGGGGAGAAGTCAGGACGGCCTGACACGAGGAGAGTGGCACCAGCGAGGTTAGTGCATTTGCCAGTGTGGTCGCTCCTGAGTCGATCCTGCTTCTCGAGGTCGCCCGGGCGGAAGCTAGCCCCCGACCGCGAGTCCTTTCGGAGTTTTCAGCGGCTCTGCGCAGCCAAGATTTGCATTAGGTCGGCCATGTCCCCCTTCAGGCGGATTTTTGGCGAAAAGTTAAAAATAATAGAAACAACACCCAAAACCAGTCAAACAAATCAAAAAGTCGTCCCCTGAACATTTCTGTACTATTTGTGAATGTTCCTCCTGTAGAGGGACGTGCCCGACTCAAGATCAGCATGGAGAGCGCAGTGCTTCGACAGAACGTCAAGGCAGGCCTGGCACCCCTGCCTCTTCCGGCACGTCCCTTTGCCTCCTGCGATCCCCCTGGAGGTTTCTGGCCCGAGGCCCAGTGCAGCCGCTCAGACTCGGCACGGACGTCCGAGGGCTTTGGCCCCGGACCCCCGACGCCTTGACCTGCTCTTTTCGCGGGCCCCGGGCCGACCTCTCGACCCTCGACCGTCTCCTGGCGTCCCTGTAGGGCCGGAGGGGGAGGGGGGGGGCCGGGACGGCCACCCCCACGAGGCCGAACACGGCAGCAGAGAGGCACGCTCCGGAAGGCTCCTTGCGTCGGGCGGCCTGCGTGGGAGGGCCGCGCGAGGGCCCCGCGCCCCTCGTCGCTGCCTGGGGGCCGCGGGGGTGAGGCGCGCCTCCGGTGCTCGAGGTGCGCCAGCGGCTCGTGGCTGGCGGCTCCCCCCTCTCTCGCCCCCGCCTGCTTGCCGAGCCCCCAGGGGAGAAGCCCCTCTCCGACAGGAGAAGGAGGAGCGGAAGTCACCGAGCGCGTTCCACTGCTCGCAAAGTGCCTACTCGCAATCGTCCGAAAAACATGTGTTGGCTTTGATGCAATTCATCGTAGATCCCCCTCGGCGTATCCAGGCCATCTGCGACTAGCTACTTTGCGAGTCGTGGAACGCGCCCGTCCAGGACGAGGAGGGAGGGGGGGGGAACGGATGGGCAGCGCAGGGGGGAGGAGCAGGAGGAGGCTGCTCTCGCGCTTCTCGTCCGAATGCTGAGCCTCCCGGTGGGCCCTCGTCGCCGCGGCCGGGTGCGCCTTGGAATCATGGTCGGAGCGCGAGTCGGGACAGGTTTAAGTCGGGCCCGTCCCTCCACAGGAGGAGTATTCAGAAATAGCCAAAAAATAGTCCGGGGATGATTTGTTGAGTATCGTTTGACCATGTTGGAGCATTGTTTTAAACTGTTTTTCATGCTTCGTCCAAAATACCCCTGTAGGAGGACAGGCCCGACTTAATCCTGGTCGGAGCGCGAGTCGGGGTAGGTCTGGATCTTGACGTGAGACGTGGCCCAGTGATTGCACGGACATCTCCCCGCGGTCTGGGGAATTTTCGCCAGCGAACGCCACTGCGTTCCAAGATCCGGACCTCGGAAGGGTTGGTTTCCCTGGGGGCTTGGTCCGCAGTGGTGGCGTAAAGCAGCGGGGGCCGGCGCTAGGGTGGTGCCATGAACCGGCGTCCAGCAGCGCCATATGATCCTCACGGTCAGACAGCTTCGGCCTTCAGGGGTGCAACGACTTCGTTGGCGGGACGAGAGCTCCCGGCGGACTTGGTGGGGCAAGTCGGAAACCTCACGCTATCACAGGAGCGCGAAGCATTTTATCTTGGTGCGGGGGAATCCTATACCTCCAGGGTTTTCGGAATTCCTTGTCATCCTCGTCACCTCGTCTTCATCTTGTCTTGAGGCAAAGTGCGCTAACATCTTGCAGTGCGACTTTCTTGAAGGCTGTTTCCCTTTCGGAAGTGGGGCGATATCGTCCCAGAGTTGTAGGACATATTGTGTCTGGGATATGACAGAGCTGCTCCTCCTGGTGGCCCTCGCATGCAGTGTTGCAGATGCAGGTCTTGAGAAGTCCACGTGCCTAGATTGCGATACGTTTAGTTTCATGGGGCTTGTGTGCCAGATCTTCGTGATGGACACTCTTGAGCGCAGTTCAGCAGCATGAAGTCCCGTTGTTCTCATGTGGGTGGGTGAGCTTCTTTTGAAGTCGCTCTGGAAAGAAGCATCGGGCAAGAGGACCAACACAAATGCCAGCCATCCGTACGAGATTCGCCAGTTGCGGGTTCATTTGTTCGTATAGTGCCGTTTGTATTACAATGGCCGATTCGAGCAAGGCAGAATATAAGTATATGTTCATCATCGTAAACATGTGCGGGGGATCGCCTTGCTTGGCACATGAATGATACGTCCCCGAGCTGTTCTACATCCTGGGCCACATCCAGAAGCTGAGCGCACAGGCGCCCGTCACCGCGCAGGCTCGAATGCTCCCTGAGCAGCCCGTTCCCTGCCATCCCCTCCCGCCTCAGAACTCCCTCCGTCCGTCTGCCATGATGGAAAAAAGAGACCCTGAGGAAACTTGTTTCTGGAATTTGGGATCTTCCCATGGGCCAACTTCTCATTCAGAGTAGTCTTGTGACGGTCCTAAGGGCCCAGGAGGGCCCGGGAGGCTGAAGACGTCGAGAAGGTGTTGGGTTATCTTACTCAGGACCCTTTTTTAACTCATGGGGATATTGTTCCTCGCCTGCTCTCCGCTATGACGCTCTGGCTCGTATATTACTGGGGCGTCGACGTCAAAGGCGCATTCGGACTCGGATGCGGGCTCGGTGCCCTTTGTAGGTTGGTCTTTGGCCCCCTGTCAGAAACATTCAGCCGAATTTGGCGGGACAGATGGTGCGGCGGTCGTTATAAACTCATCCAAACTACGGAGCTCGAGAAAATGTGGGTCTCGATCCCTTATTCAGAGGTGCGTCAGGCCGCGGAGATTCATGAGAAGGCTACTGGAGGCCTTGATTCCTCCTCTTTCTCTAACGCATCTTCACTGGCGCATACAAAGTTGGCCCGTCCAATTTAGATGCTTCAATTTGTCGCAGCTTGACGTGAGGACCTTGCGGGCATTGGAACACCTAGAGAACCAGTGGCCGGTCGATTGAAGGGAGTGCTTGACGATGCAAGTGGTGTTTGACAGCCAGTTCGTTTTCCTCCTCCCACTGTTCCCTTGCTCTCGAGGGCACAGGGGCGAACTGTCAGTCAGAGCCCTCGCCAGAGAATGAAGCGGGGCCTTGGCGTGATCGCGGCCCGAAGAGCGCCTCCGTCTCAGACTGTCTGACTGGGAGGTGCATCCGTTGGTACGTTTGCGAGCAACCCACCCTGACTCGTCGACGACGACGAAGGCGACAACGATGGCGACGACTCTTCGGAGAAGGCGTCGGCGACGGCCGCGGCGATAATGATGACGGCGATGACGACGCCGACGATCGGCGACGGCAACGACAACGGCGACGACGAAGGCGGCGTACGCCTCGAGTCGGCCTCGCGAGCGCCTACAATTCCCATTCCCAGATGGGCCGCTCAACTCAGGCTCTCTTGGCGGAGAACCCGCAGATATGCTACGCACTGCTGCACGCCGAATGCCTGGCGGGAATGGTGGCTAGCCCAGTAAGGACCAAGGACATTCAGAACCGTAGGCGTTTTCAGTCCAGAGAAAAACACAGCGTTCGGTTTTCATAATTTTGGCATCCGGGGGCCGCTGCTGGGCCCCGGGAGTGTCAGAAAATTGCCCGCGACGAGAAATCGGTCCCAGAGGACGGCGCCAGGAGTTATAGGGCCCATGTAGTGATAAAGCATGCAGCGCGATCTCGAAGGTCAGTGCAAAGACACACGCAAAACAAAAACAGCTTAGGGCGGCCTTGGAGACCACCCCAGGGTGACCGGGCCAGGGGGCATGCTATAGAGGGAGGGGATCGCTGCAGCCGCAGTCCTTGCCTCGCAGAGCCAGGGGAGATGCAGTCAACACGGATAGTAAGGATGAGCGATTTCCCAAGGTTGCCCTTACATCTTGCCCCTGCGGCCCATCCTTGGCCACTTTCGCTGACCGCGCCCCGCTCGAAGAGTGTCGTCATGGCCTTCCAAGGCCCTCGCATCCTTGAAGTGCGTCCTTACTGTACGCGTTGATTTTGGATGACCCAGGTTATCCACAGGGGTGCAAAGAGAATCGCGCTTCGCGGTCCGATCCCTTCAGGGTTACTAACCTCCAGGGGGATTCGGCGCGAGGCCACGACGATAACCGTTCGTCGTACCTCGCAGAGCGCGAAGAGAGGTGACCCAGTACGCCGCACAGGCGCCAGCGTAATCTCCCGTGGCGCAATGATGGATCGCTCTCTCGGGCTCCACATCGAGCCGCATCGCATTGAGACGCTCGATTTTATAACCCTTCCGAAACCGACAGTTTTTGAAGGATTTCGGCATGCGCGCGCGACGACGCGCGCGTGTGCACTTCGTCCCATCTGTTGCAATGGATTCTCGAAAACTTATAAGTTTTGATAAACGAGTGTGCGCGCATAGTGTTGTTTGCAAAGGATTGCGGGGGGGAGGGGTGCCGGTTTGGCTGGGATAGTATGAGTTCATATTTAGGATGGACGAGTGTGCAGAATAATTATTAAATTGCAATACCCCAAGGGGGATCGTTAACTCTGGGGGGGCGGAGTCGATTCTACTTTTAGACAGGAGAATCAATCACTTGCTCAATTTGAAGCTGTCCTCTCCGCTGCTCGTGCAAACATCCCACCATTCCACCCGCAACTTGGTCGCAATTCCTCTTAAGTCCGTGACGGTGGGTACCAAATTGCACTTGGCAACGACACCGACGACGACAGCGACAACGACGACGACGACGCCACCGACAACGACTACGACGACACCGACCACGTCTCGAACGACTTCGACGACGACGACCATGACGACAACGACGACGACGACGACGACGACGATACCGACGACGACTCCGACGCCGGCGACGACGACGACGATGACAACGACGACGACGACAACGACGACGACGGCGACGAAGACGACGAAGACGACGACGACGACCAAGACGACGACGACGAAAACGACGACGTCGCCAACGAAGACGACGACGACGACGACGACGAAGGAGAAGGGAGGACGACGACGGCGGCAACGACGACAACGACGAGGGAGGAGGCAGGTCGGCGACGACGCGAACGACGAAGGAGGAGGAGCGACGACAACGACGAAGGAGGAGGGAGGACGACGACGACGACGACGACGACGGCGACGAAATAGGAGGGACAACGACGAAACGCCGACGAAAATGACGAGGGAGGAAGGACGACCACGGCGACAACGACGACGGAAACGACGACGACGCCAAGACGACGACGACGACCAGGAAAGACAGAGGACGACGGCGACGGCGACGACGACGACGAGGGAGGAGCGAGGACGGCGACGACGACGACGACGCAAGAGCGCGCGCGCACGCTTTTGTTGAAAATCCTTGTTGCGAAGCCTTGTGTTGTTGCATGGTTTGGACACTCGCCTTTGAAATCCTTCCGAAACCGAGGGTTTTTGAAGGATTTCGGCATGCGCGCGCGAGGACGCGCGCGTGCGCACGTCGCCTTTAATTTGCAGTGGATTCTCTCGACGGCACGCGCGCAAGGGCGTTCGAAAGATTTCGACATGCGCGCTTGCGAAGCCCGTTTGGTAGTGTCTTCTGAAGGAGTTGAACAACTTCTTGGTTATCTTAAGATTTCGCAAGAGCGCGGCAAGTTTGTTTGCAAGTCCGCGTTGCGAAACCCTGTGTGGTTGTGTATGTTTGTTCTGGAAACTCGATTTTGAATTCCTTCTGGGACCGAAGGTTTTTGACTGATTTCGGCATGCGCGGGCGACGACGCGCGCGTGTGCATGTCATCCCTGCTCTTTACAAGGGGTTCTTGGAAACTTTTGGTTTTTTATAAACGAGTGCGCGCGCATATTTTTTTGTGCAGAGGACGGCGGGGGGGAGTTATACCGGCCTGGCTGGGATAGTATGAATTCACAGGTAGGATGGACGAGTGTGCAGAATTTTTACGAAATCGCAGTACCCCAGGGGGGACCGTTAACTCCGGGGGGGGTAGAGTCTATTCTTTTTGTAGAAAGGAGAATTCACCAATGCTCCTTTTGAAGTTGCCCTTTCCATTGTTCGCGCAAACATCCCACCCACCCACCCGCAACTTGGTTTGCAAACCCCAGGCGGAAGCGATTGCGATGAGTGCTTAGCGTTGGCTGGTGCATCCGGCCGCGCTAGCCCGCTCATGCTCGCGCGCGCAGCGGCCAGGTAGTTTGGCGCGAGCCACGCGAACGCGGTGACACTGACCGTTCGGCACATCCCAGCGGGCACGTCAGTGTGAGTCGGCGACTTGGGCAGGCGTGGCGTCATGGCAGCGTCGACAGCGGTAGACGCGATAGAGATAGTAGCGATGTTGGCGACCATGCTGACAGCGACGACGGGGCAGCCAGTGACGGCGCCGATGCTGATCACGCCGGCGACGATGACGGCGTCTTCGCGTCGGTGATGAAGGTTTGAGAAGGAGGTCGACATGCGCGCGCGGCAGACGCGCGAGAGTAGACCGCATGGTATTACTTGAGACGGATCGTGCCACCCCAGCACGCGTGCAAGGGCGTTCGAGCGAGTTCGACATGCGCGCGCGAAGTCCGTTCGGTACCATTTTACGAAAATGTTGAAACGCACGCTCCTGTTGCAAATCAGCTGGCAAAAAATTCTTCCGACATTCGATCTTGAAACCCGTGTTCTTGCATGTTTTGGACATTCGCCTTTGAAATCTTTCCGAAACCGAAGGTTTTTGAAGGATTCCGGCATGCGCGCGCGACAAAACGCGCGCGCACTTCGTCCCATTTGTTGCAGAGGATTCTCGCGTCGGCACGCGCGCAAGGGCGCCCGAACGGTTTCGACATGCGTTCGCGCGAAGCCCGTTTGGTAGTACGTTTTGGAAACATTGAGGAACCAATGGCCTATTTATGTATATATATATATACATATAACTATGTACTATATATTGTATATACATATACACAAACATCGCAAAAGCGCGCGCATAATATATATATATATATATATATATATAATGTTAAACACCGATTGCGAAACCATGTGTTTTTATGTGTTTTAGACACTCGATTTCGAATTCCTTCCGACACCGTTGGTTGTTGAAGGATTTCGGCATGCGCGCGCGACGACGCGCGCGCGTGCACTTCGCCCTTTTTGTTTGCAAGGGGTTTTTGGCAACTTATGAATTTTGATAAACGAGTGCGCGCGCATAGTATTTGTTGCAGAGGATGGCGGGGGGGGGGGGCGATACCAGCCTAGCTGGGGTAGTATGAATTCACAGTTAGGATGGACGATGGGCAGAATCATATGTAAATTGCAATATCAAAAGGGGAATGGATAAGTCCGGGGGGGGTGGGGTAGAACCTATTTTTTTTAAAAAAAAGGGGAATACATTTTGTGCACGCGATCTGGGGCAATATATGTTGCGTGATCCATGTGGCAGTTTTATGCTGTCCAGTGTATGTTGTGAGAGCAATAGGTGTTGCACAAACCATCGTGCGCTGTCCATGGTGCTTGATATATGGTGCGGAGTCTGTGTTGTGAATGCTACGTAGTGCAACCTAGGTTGTGCAATCTATGTGGTGCGATATATGCGGACAACCTGTGCTGTGCAGTACATGTTGGACAGTCGATGTTGTACAGGCTATGATGTGCAGTCGGTGCACGCTGTTCAATATAGGTGGTGCCGAATACGTTTTGCGATCTATGTTGTGCAATTCACCTTGACTGTCTTGCAGCTCTTCTCCACTGCTCGTGCAAACATCCCACCCTCCCACCCGCAACTTGATCGCAAGACCTCTTAAGATCGTGACGGTAGGTACCACATGGCACTTGGCACCGACGCCGACGACGACAGCGACGACGACGACGACGCCGACGACGACTACGACGACGACGAAGACGACGCCGACGTCGACGACGACGAACACGACGACGACGACGACGTCGCCAACAAAGACGATGACGACGACGACGGAGGAGGGAGAACGACGACAGATAGCACGACGACAACGACGACGGAGGAGGGAGGACGGCGACGACGCGAACGACGAAGAAGGAGGGAGGATGGCGACGCCGACGACGACAATGACGAGGGAGGAGGGAAGACGACGACGACGACGACGACGACGACGACGACGGCGACGAAATAGGAGGGGCGACGACGAGACTCCGACGACAGACGACGACGGCGACGATGGAGGAAGAAGGACGACCACGGCGACAACGGCGACGGAAACGATGACGACGCCAGAGAGGACGACGACGACGACGAGGAAACATAAACACAGACGACGACGACGACGATGACGAGGAGGAGGGAGGACAGCGACGACGACGACGACGACGCAAGAGCGCGCGCGCACGCTTTTGTTGAAAATCCGTGTTGCGAAACCCTGTGTGTTTGTATGTCTTTTAGTCGTTCGATGTTGAAACCTTTCCGAAACCAAAGATGTTTGAAGGATTCCGGCATGCGCGCGCGACGACGCGCGCGCGTGTCCATTTCGTCCCGTTTTTTGTAGAGGAGTCTCGCGACGGCACGCGCGCAAGGGCGTT